ACGTGCTGATAATGGATCCGAGTTGTACAGGAACGATGCAGCGGATGCAGAGTGAGAAGAGCATCCTGGATGAACCAGACTCTCCTCTAGAGGTTAGAAATGTGTCACATCACACACCCTTTTTCATTACTTGTCATCACTAAACGTTTACATCAAATGCTGCAGCATAACGGTTAAACATTTCAGACTGTTGCTTTTCAGCACCTTGGAGAGCAACATACGATGATTTATTGTGAGTCAGAATATGGTCGCTGTTCACTTAAATACTTTGATTGTTTTTGCAATCTTTTGCCATATTTATTTGCAAATTCGTTGCCATTTAAATTGTTCTTTTACTGGTTATTCGATGTAAATTACTGTCTCTATTTTTTCCACTCTTCCACCCTACCAAACATTTTCTGCAGTTTTGCTCTCTGAACTCACTGGGCCGCTGTTGCCTGCGCTGTTGCTGTTGTAGTATTTTTACAGCAGTACCGCCTCTCCATTTCGATGTATTACAGAGGAAGGGCAGGCGCCGATCGCATTGTCTTCGTTTGTGGGGCCGATATACACGACTAGGACGCACAACCATCGTTCTTTTCCTTCCAATCTGTGGACTATTTTTTCTAAATCTTCAGTTTGGATGCTTGTTTGTCGTTCAGGAGGATTTTTAGGAGGCTGTCGTTTGCTTTTACCGAGATAATTTCAAACAATGAGACGGCAAGTACTGTTGTTTATTTCAGTTCTGTCTTTGAGTTTAGTCTACGGGCAGGTCAGCTACTCCGTTCCGGAGGAGATGGCGAAAGGCTCTTTGGTTGGGAATATAGCGCAGGATTTAGGACTAGACGTTAAACGACTAAGGCTGGGTAACGCTCGTGTGTATTCTGGTGATAGCAGAGAATACATCGAGCTGAACAACGAGAGAGGAGTCCTCCTTATTAAAGAGAGAATAGACAGAGAGGCGTTATGCGGTGATACGACACCGTGCGCTGTGCATTTTCAGATTGTGTTAGAGAATCCGATGGAGTTTTACAGCGTAACAGTGGAAATTACTGATATTAACGACAATGCACCGACCTTTGAAAAAAACGAAATTAAATTCACCATTAGTGAGTCTGCAGTCGTTGGGGCAAATTTTGATTTAGAGAGAGCTGTGGATTTGGATGTAGGTCCTAACACTCTTCAAAGCTATGTGCTTAAGCCAAGCGATAATTTTATACTTAAACTGCACAATCAAGCCGACGGTACAAAGAATGTTGAAATGGTCTTACAAAAACCCCTCGACAGAGAGAAACATGAGTTCATTTCGCTGGTGCTGACGGCTGCAGATGGAGGAGAGCCGCAGATGTCAGGAACAATGCAGATTCTCATTACGGTCTTAGATGCGAATGACAACGCACCTATATTTACCCAGCAGATATACAAAGGCACTGTTGCTGAAAATTCTGCAAAAGGCACGGTTGTGACTTCTGTTAGTGCGTCAGATGCTGATCATGGTTTGAATGGTAAAATAATATATTCAATCACGAATACATTGGATGACGTCAGACACATGTTTGAAATAAATGAAGAAAGCGGTGAAATTAGATTGATTGGACGTTTGGATTATGAAAAGAAAAAACATTTTCAGATCAACGTGCGCGCAAGGGATAATGGAGGACTAACCGATTCGTGTAAAGTGATGGTCGATGTCGCTGATATAAATGACAATGAACCAACGATTAAAATCATGTCTAAATCAACTGTTATATCAGAGAGTGCAAACCCCAACACTGTCGTTACAATGATTAATATACAAGACCCAGACTCAGGTGACAATGGTAAAGTTCAGTGTTTCATAAATGATAATATTCCTTTCGTATTGAAATCGACTTCAAATCATTTTTATAGTTTAGTGACAGACAATGATTTAGACAGAGAGAGAGCCTCTGAGTATAACATCAGTGTGACCTGCTCTGATGAGGGAGTGCCCTCCCTCTCCAGCAGCGTCACTCTCACCT